CCCGCACCCGGCAGCAGAATTATTCCTTCTCCGGGGGAAAGTGCCGTTTCCCCCCGCACCCGGCAGCAGAATTATTCCTTCTCCGGGGGAAAGGGCCGGTCCCCCCCGCACCCGACAGCAGAATTATTCCTTCTCCGGGGGAAAGGGCCGTTTCCCCCCGCACCCGGCAGCAGAATTATTCCTTCTCCAGGGGAAAGGGCCGTTTCCCCCCGCACCCGAGAGCAGAATTATTCCTTCTCCGGGGGAAAGGGCCGTTTTCTCGCCGCGTTTTCCTTTACGCCAGCGCAGAATTCTGAGCCGCCTCCCTCGGTGCTCCCAGACCAGCAAAGAACAGAAGTGCAAGAACCGACGGGCAGGCAAACGAACAAGAAACTAGAGGTTAAACAGCAGAATTCCCGAAACTTTGGGAGAAGCCTAAGAAAGACAGGCCAACCGTGGTGAATACCAGCAACGACAGTTCGGCACAAACACAACTTCCATAGTGACAGATAACTGTATTAAAATCTGCAACTCGATATTGGTATTATACTAATTTCAGGTTGTAGTAGGCATGCAATAGCGTGAGTACACTGTTATATATAGTCGTGGTATCTTTTTTTGTTTTTTTTTTCTAATTATTTTTAAATTTTTCGTTAATGCTCTTTAGTGCCCCGCAAAAAAAAAAAAGAAAAAAAAAAAGATCACATCACTAGAGAACCAATCAGCTGCTGCTTCGTTACGAAAAAGTTTAGTTCTACGACTAAAACAAGGTTTAAGTCTGTTCTACGAGTGCTAGTATTCGCTCAGGCTGTGCCACTTGGCCACCGGCTTTCTGGGATTCTCGCACACCTCTCGCCAGTGCTCCACGCCGCCCGCGGTGACGCTGTGCGCTCCCAGGATCAGCCGGCCCACCACCTCGTTTTTCGTGGTGCGGTCGAAATCGATGACGAGGAATTCGATGCTGATGTCGGGGAGGAGGTCGACGGGGATGTCGTAAATGAAGGATTCGTTGAAGACGGGGTTCAAAGTGCACTTCTTCACGTGAGTCTTCTTTTTCGCGATGCGCTTCCTTCCGTAATAAACGTTCACCTTCACGTACGGATCTGCTGGAGGGAAAAAGAGAAGGAGACTAATAACGCAGCCCGGCAACGCCCCTGCAAGGAACTCCTGGGGTTTTGCTGCTGAACTCCTGGGGTTCTGCTGCTGAACTCCTGGGGTTTTGCTGCCGAACTCGAGCTGGCGCAAGGAAACAGCGAATCCGTCTCCCCTGGGAAGGGGGCACCACTGGCGCGGTTTCTCCCTGCAAAGCGAGAAGCTCCTGTGGGAGCTTTGCGGTTGCAGAGGGGCTGGAGGGACACGAGGCACGGCCAGACTGAGGTCATTAGCCCCAGAAATACCAAACGGGGACCTTGTAGGTGAGGTCGGTGCCCGACCGGCCCAAGTTTTCACTTCTCGCTGTCGCCTGTAACAAGAAATGTTTTCACCCTGTTTCAAGACCTAAACCCGACAAAGAGGTTTTAAAAATTTGCAGATGTAAAACGTTTAGTGGAAGGGGCCACGAAAGCAGAAGGTTTCACGCAGAGCCTTCGTTTTCCTGTCAGCCTCGCTTCGTTAAACTCGCTTCGTTCTTTCCGCAGGCGGCTTCCTCTTTGTGCAGATGCTTCTTTAGGACGAAAATTAAGATACGAGGCACACGGTGCTTTTCTGTTTGTTTTTTTTCCACATGCAACACAAGCTGTGAAGCTGGAACTCACCTGCCCAGCTGCCACTGGCTAATTTTTCCCTTTTTCTTTACCCAACTGAACTGATGAGCTTATGCATAATGTAAAGATCACAGAAAGAAATGATGTCAGCCCTGCAAGG